CCTTGAGGATTGTGGGGGAAAAAAAGAGAGTTTAAAAGCCTGAGATAGTTTTGATGACATTAATGACCGTTCAAATTCTGCTAGAACATGGTTGAGCTGTATTTAACCATACATATGGAAAGTTAAGTTGCAGGATAAAGTCTTGAAAGGACTATGACAAAAAGTTCACTTAAGAGTTTGAGTCCTGGCTCAAGTCGCGCTTTAATCCATGTTATGGTCTACAAAATCAAAATGGGATGCTAGATGACAGTTATCCAGCTGGCATTCAGTTCTACCCTCCGTAACAGTTTAAAAGAGAAACAAAAAGGAAACATGCATGAGCCTATGTTTCAAAGAGCGACAAACAGTCATAGCAGGGACAAAAACTAGATCTGCACGGTGCAATAGCATACTTTTCAGCCAGACACTATTTTTGGGTTAAAAATATATTTTTTATTGGCCTTTACCATATTATAACTGTTTGAGTTGTTACTTGTCATAAAGCATAATTCAAATGAGAAGAAATAAATCCTCTTTGTGCACCAAATTTATACAGCATACAAATTTTACTTTTACTAGTTTTATGCTTTACTAGTAGTTTTTTAGTATAGTTCTTACTAGTTTTTTTCCTTTTACTCCAGTTTATACAAATACTTTTGATATAATCAGATTTTTTATAAATGATTCATTGAATAGAAATCAGTTGTGATATATGTGCATAAAATGGAGGTTTAGAACGGATCCTTCTGAAATTGCTGAATTCTAACAATGACATACTAATGAAAGTACTACCCAAAGTAAAGCCCAGGAGGAGCTTTTTTTTAAAAAAAAAAAGGCTTTTTGTACCTGAAAATTCATCTCCACATGAGCACTGAGAGATCATTAGAAACCCTGCCAGCAGTATTTGTGCTGAAGCTATCTCCTGTGGCACAACACAACCAGAATGTAATAAAGAAGAAAATAGAGGTCCTTTAGAATACTTTTCATGTTAATGGATACTGATTTCTTTTTAGCTTGAAGCTAACACATGCTTTGGGTTAAAGGTTTTAAAGAGATCATGTTGTTACTCAAACCATGTCATCACACTGTGCTAATGCACATTACAAAGATGCAGAAGCATCAGAGGACTCACGAAATTTGCACTACACTCAGATGTATCGCCCTCACAAAAGATTAAGCCAGAAGCTCTCCTCTCACTTAAGTTTCCACAGCCTAAGCTGCCTGTGAAGACACCCTTGGGTGAAGAGGAAGGAGAATAAAGGTAAAACAGTTAAATAGTTCAATTCAATTCTGTATTTTTGACAAAATTACATAAACCCATTTGGTTAAGAAAATCAAGGACTAAACGTGGGTTTTATTGTTTGAGCGCTGCAGAAAAACTCAGGAGATGCATTTTATCACGACAAGCTTTATATAATCGTGGTTCTCATTTAACAATGAGTGCTACAGCATTTATTAGGCTGAGTCCTTGAGGTGAAAAGGCCAAAAACAGAACTTTTTTCATCTAAATTGAATTCCTTATGAGTCTCTTGCAAACTAGTCATACTCATTGATTATGTTCCCCAGTTTGTTGAATAAAGTCCCCATGAATAAAATGTTACACGTAGCTCTACGAAAGGGTAATTTTTTAAAAACCTCTCTTTTTGCACAAAATCTGGATTGCATTTATTTTGAGCCTAAAAAACACTATAATCCCCAAAACGTTTTACTTTGAAATAACCTTGAAAATTGTAATTTTCTTTCTACTTCACTATTATGCATTAGCTGTTTTGGTCCTATGTATAAAATCCAAGATAATTAAAACATACCATGTTAAGATTGTAACAAAGCAATAAACATTAATGGAAAAAACCTAAATGTGCATAGAAGAGTTTCGAATTTAAATAATTTGTCCTGTGTAGTGCAGTCCTGTTTCTCTGTGATTAGCTGTATATGCTCTCTTTCAGCCTCTGACATGGAAGCTGGCCTGGAGCTTGTCTGCCTGGTTGTGCGTTTCCTGGACGGGGCCACCTGGGGAGCTGGTTGACATTTGCCTTTTGTATCTCTGCTTCTTTTTCTGTCTGTTTGTCTCCTTGAATCCCAGTCAGCCTCGACAGATGGCCGCTCACACTGAGCCTGGTTCTGCTGGAGGTTTCTTCCTGCTAAAAGGAAGTTTTCCTCTCCACTGTCTCTACAAGCATGCTTGGTTTGAGGGATATCTTTCTAGTCAATGAGTCGATGCAATCAACTGGTTTTCCTTAGATAGAAACCTTTAACATTTTGCTACAGGATTTGAATGTAAGTCTACTTTCCAAGGTCTTGAAAATCAAATAAAAAAAAATCACAGAGAATAAATGTTCTGACAAAATAAGGGTGCCATTGTGTAACAGTAGTGATCAAAGAAGTAATGCATATGTGGACAAGCATTATCCCAGCTTTACACAAACAAGGGCTTAGTGTTGATAAATGCAGCAAATCTGCTTCAACAGTGAAAAACAGAAGCCCACTCAAGAGAAAAACATAATCACATACTGTTTAAGTGAACTTTTTTATTACTAGCATTAAAAGAGAAAATGTTTCAGCTTCTTACTGGCAGGTTCTTAGCTGAGTCTAGAAAGACCACCAGGAGAGCTGACGAGAGTCCATCTTTTGTTGGGCTTCTGTCTGCACGCACACATCTTAAAACCTAAAAGAAAACAGGAGTGTGCATCTACATGATATAAATCAGTAAATACAAAAACAACAGCAATTATTGATTACTTTAGCATTACCTGATCCAGCTTATCAGAAGTGGAGAACAGAGACAGCCACTCTAGTTTTAAGTGCAGTTTGCCAGTAGGTGCTTCTTCCAGTTCAAACCACTAAAAGGACAACCAAAAGAAAACTTTTTTTTTTTTTTTGGTGAATGCACAAAGTAAATGATTCATTTTGTCATGTAAGGAATTATCTATTTAAAGGGACACCTGAACACTTACACAATTGTTTGGTGGGTATTAGTTTAATGAAAACAAAAAAAAAACTTGTACATTGTTTTATAACCACATTATGATTACATTTTTTCCTTTATTTTAAATCAGATTTATACATCCGGCCTTTTACTATAATAGCAAATGAGAGTTCATCAAGAAAATTAGGCAAATGAATGAGATTTATCT